AAACAATTATACAAATTGTCTTACAAATTTCGATGTTCTCGTCAACTAAAATTCGTTTTATTTTTTTTAATTTTCCAATAAAAGAAACTCAAATGAATTACAACTTCAATAAATTATTTTAATAGCAACATCAGTCAATCTTTGAATGGTCTTTAGACATAGTAACACTGGTTCTGCCATATTTTTTCGGCGTGAAGGCTACGCAAGAGTAATACGAAGGCCTGCAAATTAAGATTTTATTAACAAGTTATTCTTTGTGAAGAGTCTAAAATCACAAATATTTATATAAATGGCGCTAAACTCTCAATACGATGCCATCGGAAAAGGATTTATTCAACAGTACTATACGCTATTCGATGATCCGGCACAACGGGCAAGCCTAGCAAATATGTACAACGTGAGTTCATTTCAAATATATCTCGTTATATCTTCTAGCTAAGAACTGTTAGTTACAATTCTCTTCACATTCCGGGATTGTAAATTTTATTTTAAGGTTAATTACTACTCTCCCGCCTAAACATGTTAAGTCCATTTTTTCTGTAAAAATAGCTCCACGGACGAAGTTATGACAGCTGCAGAAGAAGAGTTTCATTAACAACAATGATATGCTATAAGTTTTAAAAATGTACTTTAAATTTATTTTTATTATTTTACTGTTCAGTAGCAATTTTAAGTTTTTATTGACAAAATGTAAGTACCTTAAGAATTAGTGGTGTGTGCCGATTGTTTGTAATAAGTAAAATAAATATATTATAAGTCTCAATCTGGCGTGTTTTAAACAGTAATATACTGGTTCATAACAATATTTGAAAATCTTATTGGAATATGAATGAATACAATGTTGTTATGATTAATATGTTGCAAGAAAGGTGACTCATTCAGTAAATTGCTTCCTGATCAAAAATTAGATTTAAAGTAAGATGTAATTCTTAACTGTAAACATGACAGTTATTTTCATATTTCCTCCCAAAAGGATTTGGAATCTTAACTAAATTTTTTTTATGTTACAGGTAGAAACATCTTTCATGACTTTTGAGGGAGTTCAATTGCAAGGTGCTGTGAAAATCATGGAAAAACTAAATGTGGGTAATATAAATAATATGGTTATATTTTTAGAAGCTATTGCAATATAAATAACATTGCTATTTCTATGCTTGGTTCTATATAGCAAAATGTAATGACCATTACTTATAATCATAATCATTTTCATGGACAGTGTGGGTAGTTTATAGTTGTCTGAAGGATCTTTTCATTTATGTGGTCACTGTGAATTATTAGATAATATTTGAAACTCAGTGCAATTAACTTAAGGTAATGTACCAAAGTTAATTTATATTACTAGAAGGAAATTAACATTACCATAAATTGTGATAACCTTTGACAGATAAATTATAGGTTTTTTATGTTAAATCACACGTTTTATTTTAAAGTTTAGATACTCAATTTTTTCAGCATGGAGTAATCTACATTAATTTTTGTTTTCATTTCAGAGCTTGGCATTTCAAAAAATTACAAGATTGGTTACATCTGTAGACTCCCAACCAATGTTTGATGGTGGTGTTCTGATCAATGTTCTTGGCAGGCTCCAGGTGAGTTTTTCTTACTACTCTATTTCAATATCTTATAAAAAAAAAAGTGTATACCCCTTATTACTCCAGCTTTTAACACATTCAGTGCCAATGATTTGTCAGATTATTTTCTTTTCTTGAAAATCCCCTAGAGACATGGAATGTGTTAAACATGGGTAGACCATAATCAATTTAGTGTCTGATTTTACATATGTATATGCGAACTCACACAAAATTCTATGTGAAAACATTGTCAAAAGAAAAGAAAAAACCTGTCTCAGATTTGGATATTTTAGTATTTTGAAAGGCAACAATAAAAAAAGTTAAATTTTTACTCAGTGGTTGAAAAGTTAATATAATCATTTGTAGATAACCTAGAGGTAAAAACTATATAATTAATTTCAACTTATTATGTCTACAATATATTGACACTTCGTAATCCATAGCAACAGTTATATCTAGTCTGTTATTATTTGTTGAACAAACTTTATCACAGTTCAACAAGTAAAAAACAAATTATAGCAAAACATAATAATACATTGGCTTCATTCTATTCAGAAACATAGAGATAGGTTTTGTAATCTATTTTAGTAATATAAATGCAAGTTTGTATGGATGTGTACACAAGGTACATATTTGTATCGTAACAGATATAGATTACAATCTAACCCATAGGGTACTATTTTTTTTTCTAATTTTGCACAGATGACATAGATAGCTACAAGTACATTTCATGATGTATATTATTTGACAGTTTAATAAAAATAAAGGCATAAAATCAATAACAATCAATGAATGAAATTCATGAGCTTGTTATTCGGTACAGACAGATGAAGATCAGCCTCATGGGTACTTTCAAACATTTGTACTGAAGCCAATAGGAACCTCGTTCTATGTTGAACATGATATGTTCAGGCTGGCTCTTCATGATGTTTAAATTATATATTTTATCAACAAACAGCGACAAAGTAAGATTAAATGTTTTGTATGCCCTTACCACAACTGTGTAATCCACCCCATGTAGTGTATTAACATCTCGACCCCCTACAATTTAAGCTCTTTAATTTCATCAAACTAAGATTGCGTAACATTGTACATTTGCACATATTCATTCAGTTTGCAATTTGTGGCATGAATCTAATAGAACAGCTTCAATATGAATCTATGCTAACTTATGTTGTTAACTGTTCCTGTATAATTATGTCTTGTGTAAATATTCAATAATTTATTTATACTAATTAATAACCAACAAGTGCCCAAATGTATCCCATTGTTAATTCCTAAAACCTTGCAAGTTATTAAATTTATTTATTACATATACAGTGAAACCTGCATAAACAAGAAAAATATTGCGGTCTCTTGAACACTCACTTGTCTAGATCTGACTATACTCATGTTAAATATAAGCAAGACTTTTCTTCTCTTTTTTTTTGTCTTGGTTGAATGATTGGTTTATGTAAATATTTTATTAAAAAATCCTAATATTGTTAATACTAGTATGCAATAGTAATTTGTAAATCTTATATAAGAAAAGATTTTATAGAAAAATAACTAACATGACATATGTAAAAAAGATGTAGGTTTTTCTGTGTGTTTTGTCTGTGACCTTACTGCCCTTAATGATGCATATAATATTTACATCGCTTGTCAAAATGACCAAACATGAATTGAACAAATAAAAATTCAAAGATTTTGTATATTGTGATTTTTGATTGTATTGTGAGTTCAATTTAAAGTTTTTACTTCAATAACATTCCAGTGCTTGGATGCTATTTTAATTGTTTTTTTTTAAATTACATATTTAGTTGATTTGATAAGCTTATCTAAAAGACATCAATAATAGAACTCAAGCAATTTTAAAAATTGGTTAGGAATAATTGCTAACTTTCACAATATTTGTATGATTTTAAAGTTACTATGTCATATTTGATCTTACAAGTATATTATGGATTGCTTTCAGCAGCATTTGACCATTATTCCATCAATGGAACTACTCGATCGTTTCTAGAAATATGTAATTAATAATTGGATAATATGCAAGTTGTAATGTTTATTTTTTTTGTCGACAGTGTGATGAGGATCCCCCACACCCATACATGCAAAGCTTCGTGTTAAAACCCCTCGGGGATACGTTCTTCATCCAGCACGACATATTCCGCCTTGGCATCCACGACGTCGCCTAAATACTCCGCTTTTCTCTTCAAGCAATAATTTGAGTCGAGCTAGATCAAACTATAAGTACCAAACATCACGCTATGATATGTAATCTTGTTTTGGTTATCTAGGTATAAGATACACACGTTTTATTATCTAAATTGGAAAATTTGAAATGTCTTGTATAGTTCACATTATTAGCTGAATTTCGTTTTTGGATTTTAATAGTTTGGCTTTGTTGAATGAATTGTCAGCTTAATCAGTTATAATGGCGAGACTTTCCTTTCAGTTACATGTATACTTTTTGTAATAAATACATTATAATTTTTTTAATAATTGTGTTTTATTTTAGTTTTACATCTGTCTAAAAAATTGTATAACTTATAAAAACCTCTTTTACCACTTAGATCAATATGGGATGCCAAATTAAATTGGTTTGTAAATCGACTGCAGCAAACGAGTACTTAATTTAGTAATGAAATCGATAAGATTAAGTTTAATTGGTTATCTTCGGGGTCGCTTCGCTATTTCGGCGAATTCAGGTAGCCGCTTGCTAATTTGCCAGCGCTAATATAAAAAATCAATTCTTCCGGAGTAAAAGAGCGTGTTAATTTTTCTAAAGCTTAAGGTTTTATAACTTCCGTGTCACGAAGGGGTCGTTATAAATTTACATAGGGATAAAACAAAACTACAAAATCGATGCTAAGACAATCATGTATTAAGTAATAAATAGTCAAAAATTAACAAAAAGAAACACTGAAAACAGGTACATTTTTTTACCAATCTCAGAATTTAAGACTTGCAACTCTCAATAAATCCTTAGACGCTACGAACACTTAACAAGTTACTTGCATGCACTACTAACGATACACACCGCGCCCCGCGCTCTTGTCTAAGTGAATGACTAGCTTGCACAAGTTACACCCAACGTATGGTTCATGCGATCCGGTTCACATAGGGATGACCGATGTCAATCGATAAATTATCGATGTTATTATTATTGTGATATCAAAATAATCGATGTGGAACAATTATTAACTATTTTGAATACAGCCGAACTTTGATAAGCTAGAAACCTCTATTGAGTCATTGACCGGGCCTGACGGATCACCCCAATAAGCAAGAAACTCAGAGAGAAATTTCTATAAGCGAGAAAAATATTGCGCTCACTTGGCTTTTGACTTATCTAGGTTCGCATGTGGTTATGTTCGTCTTTAATTTGATAAAACAATTTTTTTTTTCAAATATTCTTGGCATATGAAATCATCGATATTTTTGTAACATCAATCATGCCTATTTATCTCTTTTTTTGTGAAAATATGAATCATTGACTCTGATAAAGTTATTTAATTTATCGGGATAGTTGAAATCATTATCAATTGACTTATTTTTTTTAATAATTTCACGATCAAGAGCCAACAATTTTCATTTCAAATATGTCAAAGTTAATACATCGAATAAATTGATGTTAAAAATGGCTACGTAATAATTGAAAATTGGGGACAAATACGAGCCTAATTATTCGCATACAAAAAAGCTACGAATAGTTATTCAAAATCTTATTGCTTATTAAAAGCGTTTTGTAAATATGATATCACCCTTACAAAGTAATCAACGAGACGGAAAAGTTCCGTTTGGAGGTTAGAAATAATGTTGTTAATATGATTTTAAGCAAATTTTTTAATCTGCTATAAAAATAATTCCGAATATTGTTGTCATTGTAAAACTCTACGAAGCAGAGATAAAATCAAACATGACAAAATCATGACATTCAAAGATTAACAGTTTATTTGTAGCCTCTGATAATTATAGTCGCCAGTGATCCTTGTTTCTGTGGCTATGAAAATATTGTGCGCCTTTAAACGGAATATGCAAGATGAAACAGGGGAATTATTTTACAAAAAATTAAGTTAATGCGCATATTTCGAACTTCATAGTAACAAAGAGTTGTGGCAAAAAATGTACTGTTCTGTTAAAAATAAAAATTAAAAACAATGATCATAATCAACAATTTAGTGTCGTAGCATCTTCGGCAGCAATGCAAATATTTTTTTTACGCAACTCATGTTCTTTAGGAATTTATCAAAGAATTTTTAACTACCCACAAATTTTAATGTAAAAGAAAAGCACTTTTAAAGTATGTTATCGTATTTTAAATTAATATTTTAACAGAACAGTACTATAATGTATTGATTCGAGTCACACCGGATGTCTAAAGTACATGTTTAAGTTTTCATTTTTCACTTTCACAACGCACAAAGAACGCGATAGATTGTTTCTATTAACTCCGAGCCTGAGTTTATAGTCTTCACAAATAAAATTAAGTTTATTAAAAAATTATTAAAACGGCTTAAATAATACTTAAATAAGAACATATTGCTTTTAAAAACAAGTGCTTTTTATAATTAAGTTATGTTATTGTAACAAGAAATGTGAACGATTTAATTTTATTGTAATTTTTATGGCTTATTACAAAATTGAAAACAATCACGCAATATCTCGATATTCAGTTATAAGGAAAGCAATAAAATATAAATACTATTAGTTAAAATATTTTATCCGGTTCGAAGGATCAATAGTTGTTGAAGCTTCACAGGTAACATTTTAACACAATTTGGTAGTGGAAATAATATTATTACAATAGGTTTTACTCAGTACTCGTAAAGAAAATATAATTACGTAGCAAGCTTTTTGCGTGGCGATGTTAATCACGGTTAGTAGCGAAATAGGTGGCGGTACATTAAAAATAAAATAAAAAAACAAATAAAAAGTACCGTAATCACCTTTGATTCGTCGTCATTATATCACCGTGGATTAGGATTTTCAAATTTAAATAATCAACATATTTTTTAAATTTCAAAACAAACATCAAACTCAAAACATCCATATCGAATTAGTGTCGTTGAAAATCAAAAACAACAATTTAAGTCTTCTTAACACCAAAAAATAAAACACAAACACATTTTTCGATTAAAAACTCAGGCCCGAACGTGTGAGTGTCTTACGAGCCACCTTTCTTCCTGCCGCGTGAGCCGGGCATGGCCACACCGCGCAGCGACCGCATGGCCATTGCTCTGTTGAAATGTCGTTGAGTTTTGTGCTCCTCCACCTCCACGCCGTGGTCCACCGATGACAGAATCACGAGTAACACTCCCATCACCTACAAGATACAGCTATTGTATAATCTTACTAATATTATAAAGTCATGTAGCAAACGTTTAGTTGGAAGGTATCTCCAGAACGGCTCAATGGATTGGGAAGAAATTTGGAACACAGATGTAGACTACATAGGCTATATTTGATCCCGGAAATGTGTATGGCTCCCTTGGGATATGTTTTAATTCACATATTGAGACGATAACTCGCAACATTTTAAAACATCTTATTGAAATTTGGCACAAAACAAAGTTCATCAAAGATTATGTATTTCAATATCTATGGTCAACGTAACTGCCATGAAAAGGTCACGGTGTCAATGACAAAAAAGTAGGTTGTCAACCTCACTAGATATACGACCATTAATATATCATAACATAATAATATAATCTACTTTTAAAGATTATTTAAACACGTGGTTTATCACAAAAACAATTTACTTTGATAAAGTATTTGATAATGAATTATAATCTATAAATGTGTGCATTATACTGAATTATGCAATATACATAGCAGCGTCGAATATTGTAGATTTAATTATTACTTCAAATTTCAATAATAAACAAATTCATAGGCCGACAATCTACATATCACAACAGACACTCCAGCTTAAAAAAAAACTCTTTGTACAAGTATACTATAAATATATATAAAAGAGCGTCGGTGGCTCAGTGGTCAAGCCCTTGACTTGCAATTTGCAGGTCCTGGGTTCGAATCCCGCCATGTACCAATGTGTTTTTTCGATTTCCGATTTACATATGTACATTTATCCGACGTTCTTACGGTGAAGGAAAACATCGTGATGCAACCTGCACATATCTGAGAAGAAATTCAAAGATATGTGTGAAGTCAACCAACCCGCACTTGGCCAGCGTGGTTGACTATGGCCTAATCACCCTCAACTTAGGGTATGCTCCGTGCCCCTCGGTGGGGACGTATAGTGAGCTGATGATGATGACTATAAATATAAAATAGACTTTGTTACCAGGCAAACGATGATGATTAGAGTATAGACATGCACAGACGCCTCGGGGATGTTTTCAATATCCTTGAGCGCGGCCAGCGCCGGCTCAAAGTCCGGCCGCAAGTCCAGCGTGTGCTTCAAGTGTAGTGCAGCTTCCTGATATCAGAAAGAAATCGCAATTAATTTAAAAAATATGTAAAAACAACCAACATATTTGTAGACAATGGGCACCTGCATAAAAATATTTTTTAAATAATTATTTCTAATCTTATTGTGGAAGTCTATTGTTTCAGTTTGTAAGTGCTGAAAGTTTAACTTACTTGATAATGTCCATATGCTTTGAATATCTCTCCCAGCGTGAAGTACTGCTGCCAGGCGCTGCGGTCCGGCGGCTGCACCTCAAGCGAGCGCCTTGTTAGGTAAATGGCGTCATCAAGGTACTGCAGCGTGAACAGTACCCGCGCTAGATTCAGCAACACCTAAAATAACATCACTTTGTAGAACATCCGGCATCATCAGAACATCATCATACAGTGCAAGGATTATTATTTTCTAACCACTTCTGAGAATGATAAAAAACTCGAAAACCTATCGATCAGGTTAACTTATATTCGGTGATGGTTGACTTCCTAACAATAAATTATGCGTGTTATGCAAATTAAATTATATAACTTTATATTTCTTCTAAGTATTAAAGTATTGTTGACTTCAAGTATTTACCTCTGCATTATAAGGCGAGACTGCGAGCGCGCGTCGGAAACACTCTATAGATTGTCGAGTGTCGCCTTTAATTCTCCAGAAGTTCCCAATCTGGTTATAAAGTTGTACAGACTTTGGTTTTTCTCTCTTCGCTTTTTTCAAACGTTTCTCTAATGCATTTATATCCAACTCTGATACACTATTTTTATATAACTTTTTCTTTGTGAATATAAGAGCCACCTGAAAAATTAATACATTACATAATTAACATAAATTCTTCACTCACAATCATGTATTGAGCAAGTTCTATGTGAAGAAAAAAATGTGAGGAAAAACTTAAAAAAAAACCTTAAAAAATAATTGGGGCACACATCTTTACTTTTGTAAGAATGTAAAGCTTATTGCAAGTGACATAGAGGTTGAATGATCTAGTTGAAATTAGGAATAGCAATAATTTATCATCTAAAACAGCACATAGGCCAGTTCTGTTATTTCTATTTTTAATATCTAGCTGATGAAGTCATGGGGGATAGCTAGCACAGAAAATTCATTACTTCACCTGTGGTTCGGGAACATTAGGATGTCTATGCCGTCGTGCAACCCCAACCAAATTATCATAATATGTGAAGTTAACAGATTTTCCACAGTCCAAATATTCTTCATCTGTGTCCCCGTTGCCTTCTGTTGAAGGTGTTTCTTCAACATTATCCATTGCATTCCTGAAACAATGTATCAAAGTAACTTAACATTGCATGAGCTATAGGAATAAATCATTCAATTCATCTTCACACATTCATATAAATGTCTTCTGTGTATTTTACATTTTTATTACATATATATACTTATACTTATATTTATTTTTATTTTGGTTAGTATAAAGCATAAAAATGGTGAACATAAATAATGTTATTTTGTTACATTTTAAGAATAGTAATTTTAACTTTACCCACAAAACACTATAATCTAAGCAGAGATGTGAAAGGAGAATTTAACTACTTGTCACTAGTAGTATTGCTTGTTCTTTGGTTTTAATTCATATATCTAATCCAATCAGATTAAAAACTTTTATTATGTTATTGACAATACCACAATAAATTGTATTATCTTTCGGATATGTTTTTGTTATCATTATCAATTATTGTATATTGTACCTGATCAAATATCTTATTTTTTAAATGTGTATTGAAAAGTAGGATAAAGATATATTTTTACCTTTGCTGGTCAAAAACTTGGCAGTCTGTGCAGTACATGTCAAAGCCATGCTTAGTCCAAGTATTTCCATAATACACAGTGGATGTAATTATATTGAAAACAGCATCTTCTTCTGTTATTTTAGATTTGTCTGTCTCATCCTAAAATGTAGGTATTTGTTTAGTTGTATATGTTTTGTAATTAAATCGGTACCCAGGTAAAAAAATTAAATTGTTCATTTTTTAGTTAAACTCCCTTAAAGTAAAATTTCTTAAGAAATCAAGGCTAACTAGTTAAGTAACCAAGTCTAAAAAGGGTCAAATGTACACCAATGAATTTTGTACACATGGTAAAAACAAGTTACATAAAACACGATATTTTGAAATTTTACTAACCTGCGGCAACTTACTACCATCAATGATTTGCCCTTCTTCAACATCCAATTTCCAAATATTAGAGGTGCGAGAATTAGTAGCTATAATTTGAAAAGAAAATATGTACAAAACCAAACAAGTCAAATAAGGCAGGTCCCCCATTTTGACAACTTAAATTAAAAACAAACATGTAAACTGTTTTAAAATACTTAAATAATGTAACTCATACACTGAATGAAAATTATTAGGATACGATCTTCGTATAGCAATAAATTTTAATCACAAGCCCAAGTTCTACTTCTTTCATTCCTGTCGTATTTTGACAGATTGTCGCCACAGACCACAGACACAGAGTCACAGACCCCAAAGATAATTTTTGAAATAAGATGTTGCCATGATAGAAGTGAAATCAAACTATAAATCAAAGAGTATATTAAATATATATTGCCTAAAATTTTGATCCAGTTAAAAATAACATTGAAGTCTACGATTTCAATTTGAATTTCGTATTGTAACTTGCAAGTTTAAATGGAAAGTAATGTGATAGTATGAAAGACAATAGAATTCGCTAGAATTTTGGGCGGTATTCAGAGTATCGCAAACCGTCGTGCAACTATGAAATTCAAGGAAGGCATGTCAGGTCAAACGAAACTCACAGAAAATTTAAGTTTAATCATCTGTGAGCGGTTAGTGACTTTCTTGACTTTGGTCTTGACAGTTGACATTTGACGATAATCAATGTCATCGAATTAGAAATAAAAAAATCAAATAACAATAATTGTAACTATAAATTTACCAGCATTCTGAATTATAATTTTTAAATCACTTTTAAAATGTCATAATTTGCAGTATATGAACTATTATAAAAATGAAGAAAGAACGGACGGGCGATAATTGTCGCCCATTCAAATTATAAGTATTTTTTACTACTCTTATACATTTCATTTATCATAACCAATGCTAACAATTGTATCTCATTTTACAGCCCATCAAATTTTGAGCTTAACTGGCATTAGTTTTGAGAGAAGAAGTATAATTGTATGTTTAAATATTATCTGGTGCCTATTTGTTACTTGTTTTTCTAATTTATGTACCTTACCTACTGTATTTTTTAGGGTTTTGTCGAGTTAACAATAGTACCTTTAAAAGATAACTTGAGATTTATTCGTTTAAACGCGAAGCAGTGCCGAATTTACAGAGTGTGTTTAAATGATCAATATGAAGCCAATTTCCAGTACTGCGACCCATTTCTGGACATATGTCAAGCAGATCCCAATACGTGAGTTTTTTTAACCAACATTTAAGCTGTAATGTATCGACTACAACAGTAACATTAAAGTAAAAAGTTTAAAAGTTTTTTGTTTAAAAATGATTTTGTATGTTCATTGGTGTTGATACTGTTGAGAATTTTAAAAGCTTTTTATGGTCATAATATGTAAATAAGAGAATCAACTTGAGATACTTTTACAGGAGGTCATTGGAGACCTTTTCACGATATCATCTATCAGCCGCACAGAAAGTTGATCCTGATCATAATTCAGGAGAGTTGCATATCCAAGTTCCTGACGATGCAGCGCATTTAGTCGGGGAAGGTAGAGGATTGAGAATTGGAATTGAATTCTCATTGGAATCACCACAGGGTGGTTTGCATTTTGTTGTGCCTGAAGGGGAAGGATCATTAACTGAGGTAAATTAATTATTCTGTGATATTCAACTTTATAAAAAACAAAACAGTGTTTTCTTAGTATTTATTAGATAAATGCTTATAAAAATACATAGAGCTTTTTGTGTAGTGGATCTTTTGTTACTCAATGATCAGTTGCTATATCCTCAGTGTAACACATAATTCTTTTTTGTAGAAATCGGCTCATATGTTTACATATGGTCACTCAGCTCGGCTATGGTTTCCCTGTGTGGACAGTTTTGCTGAGCCTTGCACATGGAAACTGGAGTTCACAGTAGATGAAAGTTTGACAGCGGTGTCTTGTGGAGAACTTTTAGATGTGGTGTACACACCGGACCATAGACGAAAAACATTCCATTATGTGGTCAATACACCAGCATGTGCTCCCAATATCGCACTTGCTATAGGGTAATGTATATTTTACATAAGAATTAACATTAACCATAAACTGTGTTTTAATTATAATTTGATGCTCTTTTCTGTAATTTCCAAAAAAAAACATAATTTAATAGAAAACAAACCTCTTAACCCTTAATTTGATGGTGTTCAGTGTGACGAACAACTAATTAAAAAAAATCTACTGAATAAGTTTAGAGACAATTATGTAAGTGTGACTACTAAAAAAAAACATTTATTGCTACGAAATTTCGTCGCATTAAGGGCTAACTTTGTCGTCATTGTCAATGTTTTTTCCAGGCCCTTTGAAACATATGTTGATCCATTCATGAATGAAGTAACACATTACTGTCTACCACATTTATTGCAAATTCTTAAAAATACTGTCCGATATTTGCATGAAGCTTTTGAGTTTTATGAAGAAACTTTATCTACCAGATATCCTTATCCATGTTACAAGCAAGTGTTTGTAGATGAGGTAAGTGTAAGAAATAATAAAAAAACTTTAGATTTATATATTATTCTGATGTCCTAGGATGAGAAATCACCACAAACACTGAAACTTTGATATTTTTCCATGTCATATTGTCTTGAAATAAGTTACTATGTATCATGTCCAACAATTCCAATAATTTCATTAGCAATGAAACTTCACTTTTCACTTTTGATGATAACATTTCTTAATTTTCAGACAGAAGATGATGCATGTGCATATACAACAATGTCGATACTAAGCACACATCTACTCCATTCAATTGCTATTATCGACCAGATATACATTAGCCGGAAAGCGATGGCACAAGCTGTTGCGGAACAGTTCTTCGGTTGCTTCATAACAATGCAGAATTGGTCTGACTTATGGCTTGCTAAAGGGATACCTGATTATCTATGCGGACTGTACTCTAAAAAGTGTTTCGGTAATAATGAATACAGATACTGGATTCATCAGGAATTGCAAGAGGTAATATTTTTCTAATATTTTTCTAAAATGTATTTAATTCAAAAATAATATATAAAATTTCTTGGAACATAGGTTGTGGGCTATGAAGAACAATATGGAGGGATTGTACTCGACCCTTGGCAGCCGCCTGCCAGTGGTGCTCGTGTAGAACCAAAGGATGTTTTCTACTTCCCAGTTCGCAATGTGCATACTATGTCGCCACGGTATATTGAGGTGAGAATTTTAACATATTGTAAACCATTATAATTTTTTCGTATGTAAGTGTCTTCGCTACGAGAACCGATGGCAAATTAAATTATATTAGTAAAAAAAAAATTGTTAGAAAAATTGGCTTTAATTTTCAGTGTTTTGGATTTTGAGATGCAGTCGAAAAAAAACTATTTTTTTTGGAAATAAGACATTGTTTTTTTCACTTAGGTAATGCGAAAGAAATCACATTTGGTACTACGTATGTTGGAGCAGCGAATCGGTCAAGAACTCCTCCTCCAAGTGTTCAACAAACAGCTCTCTTTGGCCACCAATGCTGCAAACACTAAGATTGGCAGTGGTCTTTGGGGCCATCTCTTGTTATCTACCAATCTTTTCGTAAAAGCTATATTTACTGTGACCGGTAAAGACATGGCCGTGTTTGTGGATCAGTGGGTCAGAACCAGTGGCCATGCAAAGTTCCAACTCACTTCTTTGTTCAATCGGAAGAGGTAAGTCTCGAAAATATTATATTTAACTAAATATATGTTCAAATACTTCTGTATATTCAAGTAGCATCTTATCCTTGCTTTTTTTACAAAATTAAATATAGTTTATGTGATTCTGGGATAAAGTAGCATTTTATTAGATAAAGATTTTTTTAAATTAATTCTGTTTTTGAGTTTATCTTTTACATACAAACATACAAACCATTACTCTTTACAATATTATTGTAGTATTATTTAAGATAATATAGTTAGGAGTAAATTCATATGTGACGTCTGATCTTTATCAGATTATGACCTGATATGATCTATCCACTAGTATCCTATTTTATATAAAGATGCAATGTAAAATAAGATACTTTTTTGATCCTATGTAAGGAAAAGGGAAAAAAGGTAGATAATATTTATTAATTTTCTTAAACAGGAATACAGTGGAACTTGAAATACGACAAGACAGCGTCCATGAGCGTGGTATAAGAAAGTATGTAGGACCTTTAATGGTACAACTTCAGGAATTAGATGGTACATTTAAGCATACACTTCAGATCGAGAACACAGTTGTGAAGGCAGATATAACATGCCATAGTAAAAGCAGAAGGAACAAGAAGAAGAAGATACCTCTGTGTACAGGAGAGGAAGTTGATATGGATCTCTCGGCTATGGAGTAAGTTTATTACAAGTTTAATTTCACATGTCCCGATGTTTGTCATCTAATCTTGCAAATGCAATTTGATCCACTTTTAGCTGAATGGTTAAGCTGAAATTTTGCATATATGTATTTGCTTTTTTATATTTTCTTTTAAAGAGAGAACATAATATTTTTTAACACATCACATGGTTGATAATATTTTTCCTTATTCTGGGGCTAATCAAATCCAATAGTACAATAAACATGAACTAAGAAAAACATTTTTTCAGTGACTCCCCAGTACTCTGGATCCGTTTGGACCCGGAGATGTCACTCTTGAGGTCAACAGTGATATCTCAGCCGGACTACCAGTGGCAATATCAATTACGTCACGAGCGTGACGTCACCGCTCAGAGTGAGGCTATTGATGCATTGCACGCCTTCCCAGAGCCCGTCACACGGAAAGCACTCACCGATACTATAGAGAATGAACAGACGTATTACAAGATTAGGTGTAGAGCTGCACATTGTTTGACCAAGGTATGTTGTTTAACCATCAAATTAAAGAGCTATACGACTCTGGATAAGAGAGAGTCTAAGGGACCGCGATTTTCTCCCTTACAGAGGTTTCTCTAAACTGAGTTTGTTTATAGAGGTTGTGGCCAGACACACATTCTTAATATTAGCGAAATATTATATTTTAGCTGAACTAACAATGCCTGTACCAATAACATAGTGAATCTTTACGCTAAGCTGATTTATGTTATTCAAACAGTGAGACCAGTTGGGCAACCAGTTCGTCAACTAGTCTGATTGATCTGCCCGGCTTTTCTAGCAATACTCAGATGTGATGGCCAGAGCTTTCTTTTGGTAGTCTTACCTGTCCTATGTAGGGAAGAAGAAAAAAGAAGTCAACAATACGGTCAAAGGCAATTAGTTTGTGGCACTACTCTCACCATAAAAATATAGAATAAAGCTGGATT